TATATGTATATGTATATGTATATGTATATGTATATGTATATGTATATGTATATGTATATGTATATGTATATGTATATGTATATGTATATGTATATGTAGCACTTTTCCAATTAGCTTATGGGTTTTCGTTTGCAGAATGAAGTGGAGTGGCTAGGCAAACTCAAGCATCAAAATGTAGTTAATCTTATGGGTTACTGCATACATGATGACACCAGATTTTTGGTCTACGAAATGATGCATCAAGGTTCTTTAGAATACCAATTGCATGGTAAAGTTACTTTACTCCTCTGAAAAGCAATGATTTTAACTTTGTAAGTTGGCTTTTCTGGTGTGTTTGGTTAGTGGATGGGACTGTATAGGACCGGACGAGAGTTAGGTAGGCGAGTGAAAGAATTTAGAAGGTCTTAGGGTTTTAATTTGACATGGGTAGTCTGGTAGTTTACCAATCTTGTCTTATATCCCTTATTTTTGCTCCACCTATTTTGGTGGGACAAAAAATGTGTTTTTTCCCCATGGGGTTTGCTAAATACACCCCTATATGTTACTAAATGCACTACCACCTACTAATTTCCTTACCGCACACATCAACATTAAGATTTACTTTTTATATTCTCAATGCATGATTTGACTTAATTTTGAGGGGCATAGTTAAAAGCTCAGGCGCGCCTAGGCTCTAAGGCTCAAGGTCTTGGGCTTTTCGCGTATACATGAGGCTCACTAAGGCAATGCGCCTTGGCTGAGGTGGGCCTAGGCGTGTATAAAGAGTTATTAACTACCTAGTCAAACCATAATATTAAAAAAAAAAGTTTCCTCATCTTCTCATCTCCTAGATTTCTTAAAAAGAGTTATTAAATAGATGATATAAGTCAAACCCTAATATTATACACCATATCCTTAGAACTTCAAGCCTCCTCTCCAAATACCCAGACCTTAAAAAACTTTTCCCACACGGTTCACGCTTTAAACCCTTCTCCGTTATGCCTCTGTCGAAGTACTGTTGCTGCGTTTGAGGCTTGTACTTGTTGCATATTTGAGTTGTGTGTAACTATGTGTGTGTATATATATTGATAAGATGCACCTTGCATGCTTGAGGCCCGCGCCTAGCAACACCCTTTTCCCACTTAGGTTCTAACCCATCTTAATTTAAATGTCGTCAAACGCAGGACAACAAGTTTTTGTACCGTCCCGACCTCTCCTAGTGTGCACCCAAATGGCCATGACGGCATAATCCATAATTTTTACGTAAATGGAAAAAGAAAAAAAGAATAAAAAAACAATGCACTTTCAGAAGTCAATTTCTTGAATTTATATACGTTTCACTTGTGTTAATTTGTTATTCAATTATGATTAGGACCTTCTCATGGAACATCATTAACTTGGCAGCGCCGAATGAAAGTTGCACTCGATATTGCACGGTATTACACATTACTTCGGTTTCTAAATCAATTCAGATTGCACTTTTATTGAACTTTATAAATAGATGATTATATAAATTTAACAGAGGATTAGAGTATCTTCATGAGCGATGCAACCCACCCGTGATTCACAGAGATCTCAAATCATCAAACATTTTGCTAGATTCCAGCTTCAATGCTAAAGTAAGAGCCTTCATATCTCCATGAACCTTCATCAAGAATCTGATATGTTTTCATTACCTAATTGTATTTAACTTGATTCAGATTTCTGATTTTGGGCTTGCTGCCACCGGGCTTAATGCCAAGAACAAAGTAAAGATTTCGGGAGCTTCAGGTTATGTGGCTCCAGAATACCTTTCGGATGGTATGCAGTCATTCATTTTTGCAATAATCTATGATGGTTTCCTCTGAATAAATGAGATCTAAGATCGGTAAATCTTACAGGTAAACTTACCGATAAAAGTGATGTATACGCATTTGGAGTTGTACTTCTTGAGCTTTTGATAGGAAGAAAACCCGTGGAGAAAATGTCACCATCTTTATTCCAATCTATCGTCACATGGGTAAGCCTTTCATTCGATCATAACCTTATTTAGTAACCGAGTTAAAAAGAATGTATTTGCCGTTGTGAAGCCTGATATTAGAAAACAACTGTTTTCGCAAACAGGCAATGCCTCAGTTAACAGACAGATCAAAGCTTCCAAATATCGTTGACCCCGTGATTAGAGATACAATGGACTTGAAGCACTTGTATCAAGTTAGTATAATATACTTGCAACTTTCGGTTATTTTATTATTAAAGCTGTTTTTATTTGTTAGAGTGCTGTATCGGCTAGATTTGGATATGATAACTCCAAAAATAGCAAAAATTGGAGCGGACTCGTCAATGACATGACCAACTTTTTCTAAATTAGCACAATATTAACCGGCTATGTTGTAAAACCCTTTTTTGTTGGTAATACCTTTTCATATCTTTTCCAATTTGTGGGCCCACTTTGCAAAAAGATGAGCAAAAAGTCTCTTTTTGTGCGAAAATTCGGGTTTTGCTCATGGTTTTTGCGAAGTGTTCCCACAAACCTAATAAAATATGCCAAGTACATTTCGGAAAAAATGGGTTTTTGCAAAATAGGTGGTTATTTTGTGTTAAGTTGGAAAAAGTTGGTAATTTTGTGATGGATCATGGATGAACTCCAATTTTGGTTATTTTTGTAATTATCCCGTTAAATATATGTTATAATCTCTCTTTTATCTCCTAAGGGCTCTTTTCGAGAGTACTCTGATAGGGTTCCGCATATCTCAAATTACCATTCAATAATTAAATCTCTAATGAAACGATACTCATCTGTTATAGGTTGCTGCGGTAGCCGTGCTCTGTGTGCAACCCGAACCAAGTTACAGGCCATTGATAACAGACGTATTGCATTCATTCATTCCACTGGTACCCGTTGAGCTCGGAGGATCACTAAGAACTTAAAAACCTCCAAATTAGGTCTTCTCGAATTGCTTGTTCGACTTGTTGATTTCTTGCACGTTTTCAGCGGCAACCATCAAATCTAAAAATGGTATAAACCATTTCATGGCGTATTTAAATGATTGCCGCTGAAAATTCTATAGGAACCCCTAACCGTTTACCCCTCTCTTTTTTTGGCATCTTTTTGTTTCTAATGATATCTTGCTGATCCTACAATAGCGATGCATCACATGGTTGTAACGCGTGCATGTATGGCTGTACGTTTCGAGGGAGGTCGTAATAATTTTTGGAAACAGCAAGTACGATGTACATGAGATAACATTTAATGTAAACGAAGGGAATTCGTTAGCTCTTCTGTTTTTTGTTTTTGTTTTTGTTTTTTAAGGTGAAGGTTCAATATTCATTACGCTAGTGTGTGAACTAAAACATGTGAATTATTAGGGTGAAAGCATATGGGTTTAAAACAAGTTACTGTATATTCATATGTAAATATACATTGAATGCAACAGTGTGAATTAAAGTATGCGAACTAAAACATGTGAATTAAGTATATATTTCGAATTTTCAATGTATATTCACATTAAAATCATGAGTGAGTTACACATTTGGTCCCTCTTAAATGCCTCTTTTCTGATCTTTATCCCTCAAAATCATAAAGTATATTGGTGATCTAAAATCGTGTTTCTAAGCTCAAATTGATCGCTCCCACTTAACACCATTAGTTGGACCCGTTAAGTTGGTCATGTGTGCCTCATGTGAGGGGCATTTTTTTTAATTTAATTCACTCAAAAGAAAAATAAGACACAAAGGTTATAAAGTGAATTGCATTTTTGGTCCATTGTCTAAAATGACCAAGATGCCCCTCACATGAGGGGCACATGACCAATTTACCTGATCCAACTAACGATATGAAGTGGGAGGGATCGATTTGGGCTCCAAAACATGATTTTTGGAATATTAATATACTTTATGATTTCGAGGGACAAAAATAAAAAAGAAGGCATTCATAAGCGGCCAAAGGTGTAAGTCACTCTAAAAATCATATATAAGTTTAGAAACACTTGATCATTAAGATCTTTCTTTTAGTTCAAATGAAAACCTCCGATAGAGGATATCCGTCCATCAAAATTGGTTGGTGTATATTGGCAAACTTTTAATATGTATAATACACACACACACACATATATATATATATATATATATATATATTGTGAATACATATAATTGAAACAAATGAGGTCCATCAAAATTGGTTGGTGTATATTGGCAAACTTTTAATCTATCTATCTATATATATGTATATACATATATAGACTTGAGATCATGTGAGACCAATGGTTTTTCGTGAGACCGGTAAGACCAATTCACAACCTTTGGATTAGATCTATAATATGAAAATCTAAATATTCATAAATACCACGAGACTTCTCAATAATCACAAAATTGCCATCGTGCAATTTAAACCATTAGATCATTCACTTATAAAGTTGATCAATGAATATAAATTGGTCTTACGGGTCTCACAAAAAACCTTTGGTCTCACGTGAACCCAATCCTATATATATATATATATATATGTATATATTTATATATGTATATATTTATATATGTATGTATATACGTATAGGGTTGGGTTTACGTGAGACCAAGAGTTTTTCGTGAGACCCGTAAGACCAATTTATATTCATTGATCAACTTTATAAGCTAATGATATAATGGTTTAAAGTTGAACGGTGACAATTTTGTGATTATTCAGAAGTCTCATGTTAATTTTGTGATTATGAATGTTTCGATTATAGATCTAATGCAAGGGTTGAGAATTGGTCTTACGGGTCTCACAGAAAACCTTTGGTCTCACATGATCCCAAGTCTATACGTATATGTGTATATATATATATACATATACATATATGTATGTATGCGCAAATAATCATGTGAGAAGGGAGATTATTTTGAGAAACGCAAGAAGAGATTTGATCCTTGATTATTTTTAATCTCATATCCACCAATGAATTACCTTTAGAAAGGAATTGATCCGGTTCATGTCCATGCGCCTCATTAGTGTTGACATTCAATTAGAATGGAGATCTCTTCTAATGCTTTTCAACATAACTTCCATTCTTACTGGAACCCAACCATATATATTGGGGCTGATTCTTTTGTTAACTCAATAAATAGTGTTTACTTTGTCAATCAATCTTAGCTCTTCATCTTGAAAATCTATGGTTTGCATTTCATTATGACATTTTTGCAATAAATTAGAATAAGATGCATTATAAACATAATGAAGACTTATGAACATGGGTATATTTGGAAAAACCCTAAAAAAATTTATGACGTCTATGTTTTATGTTAGTAAACACATGCAATACGTAGTCCGGTTCACATATGAAATAAATGTGGAATGATACCTGGTTCATCTATGAACAAACATTAAGTTATGTTTATAAACAATGTTCATGTGCTCACTTCTGAACACTGTTCACTTTTTTCAAAATATTTGGTAATCTGTACATACCTAGTTTTCATTATGTGTATGTTGTAATTTGGTTCACATATGAACACAATACTTTTTATAATGTTAAAACGAGATGGTTCACCTATGAACAAGTGTTTACTCATGTATGAGAACATAGTTCATAGTATCATCTTCTGTGAGCTTGATCACTAATGGTCTTGAAACACCACCAAAATTCTTAATCTGATAAAGTGTATCTTCATCGATCAACTAATAATAACAATGATAAGAATCATGAAATAATTAATAAATGTAACCGACAATTAATTCGCATTAAAAAAGATGAAATAGAGAATTACATTTTACCCTCATTAAATAAATTTATCATGTGCATCAACCAACATTGTATCTTGTTTCTTATTAATTCATTGAGGTTTGCAGAGTTAATATCATTTATTGAGTTAACACACACACACACACACATAGGTAGTTAATTCAGACAAGGGTTGGGTTTCGATGAGAAAGGAAGTTATGGGGAGAAGTGTAAGAAAAAATCTTCACTCTTGTATCAATCCTAATTGAATGTCAAAACTTGTGATGTACACTGAGATGTACCTGATCAATTCTCTTTTAGAACACAATTCATGGGTAGACATAAGATTATAAATGATCAAGAGTTGAGATCTCTTTTTACACTTCTCTCTGTAACTTCCCTTCTCATGCGTCTTACATCATATAGACAATTAGGTATTGGTACTAATGGTTGGTTACTGTGACTAATTCAAAGTGACTTAGGGGCCGTTTACTAAACACTTACTTGGTAAGTGCTTAACGCATAAAGTTTTTCATCAAACGAACATGACAAGGGCCAAGAATCTTACCGAGTAAGAGCGACGAGAAGGATGGAGAGTCTTACCCGGTAAGTGAGGATGACGACTCTTACTCAGATAAGCGCTTACCTAGTAAATTGTTGCATTTTGATGTGCTTTAATGTACTAAAATTTTACACATCTAAATAAATCATAGTGTTAACTTCTATTGGTAAACGCTTACAGGGTAAGTATTTGAGTAAACGACCCCTATTTATGCTTTGGCTATTAAAGGATAGAAAGTGAAGCACATAGTTCATATCAATATATAAAAGGAAAAACATTAAAAGAGTATTGCATTTGAACTTGAAATATAATAATATAAATGTAAATGAATTTGTTTGAAGATTATAATATTGGTTATATAGATACAATATTATTTTTCTTTAAATAATTAATATTAAAGTTTTTTTATTGATAAAAATATAATAAAAAAAACGAAAATTATTTTTTTAATAAATTTAAAGAATTTTATATTCTTTTGAAGCAAAAAACTTACTTAAAATCTTCAAAGCTTCAATTTTCTCCCTTTTATAACTATTACTCTGTCCATTTCAAAATAATTTTCCATATTTCTACTTATATTCGTCTTAAAGTAAGTGTCCAATTTAAAAAATAAGTAACTAATGGACCGTTTATTAAACGTTTACTCAGATAAATGAACACCAAGTCACATTACTTTACTGAATGAATATGGTAAAAACCAAGAATCTTACTCAGTAAGAGCGAGATAAGAGCCATGAGTTTTATCCGGTAAGTGAGGCGATTACTCTTACTACGGTAAGTGCTTACCGGTTAAATTGTTACATATGATACCGTTTTGGTGGACTAAAATTTAACTCGGTAAGTAAATAATAGTGTTAAATTTTATCGATATACGCTTACCGAATAAATGTTTGGTAAACGGTCTCTAAATATCAAAATATATCCTTAGTCAATGCATAAATATTTTAAATTTGGTAATACGAATGCACTAAAAAGACATAAAGTTATCGTTTAATTAATTAAAATTTGCATTAATTATTCATATCTAAAAATTGTATCTCATTGGACATTTATTTCTAGGACTATGAGAGTATATAATAAAATAATAAACTCTAATATTAAATAAGTTATTTCGTTTTATT